CGGAGCATGGGGACAGATGGCCCAGGTTAGGAAGCCACCTTAGCAACTCTGTCCCCGAGGTGTGCACAGAGCTCTCTCAGGTATCGGAGGGAATACTGGACAGTACATGTAAGCCGGACGAGGGTGATGAGCCAAGAGGTCAGGTCTAAACCAAGGATAGCCCTCAGCTGGCTTTTGGTTTTGCTGGGTCCTGCCTCCGATGCTTCTGCACTTCTGTCTTTCAATGCCCCCGTGTGCCCGGCCGGGCCACCCTTCACCCCAGCCTATTTGAGATTCCGTCAATGTGCATGAATGCCTGAGCGAGTGCAGTGCCCCGTGGGCCTCTCTCAGCCCTGGGAGCTGAGCAGTGTCAGCCCCACGTGCAGATGTGAGGACTGATACTCGGGGTGCCTCTGCGGCACCCGGATCCCAGGCCAGGTGTATACCTCTACCCGGCGCTCTTTCCCTTCTACTCCAGTCTTGACCCTCAGATAAATAGTCACCATTATTCCTGGGCTGCAGGGTGATTTGAGAACGAATCCACCACTGAACTGGAAGGCAGTAGGGATGCACTATACATGCCGGGTGTCGTGGCTGGTGTTGAGGATGTAGGATGAAGGCCAAGAACAGCCAGTGTACTCCTGAGGACGAGAGCGCCAGGCCCTGCACCGTGGGCTTTCCACACCTAAGTTCATTTAATCCTCACGGGAGGTATGGGCAGTGGTGTCTTCCAGTGATGGTCACAACAGTAATCAGAACGCAGCTTCCTAACGAAACGGTGGAGTTGATTCCAGCACCCCTGGAATGCTGGGAAGGCCCAGCAAAATGCAGGGAAAACGGTGATGTTCCAGCTGCAGGCACAGCTCTGAGCTCTCCCGGCAGCTTTCTCTTGCAAACTCCCTGGAGCATTCCCCCTGCAGGGCTCCCTCTCCAAGCCCAGCCACCACACTCTGAGAGCCCAAGCCACATGGAGAAGCACGTTCCGGCCCTCGGGTTGACAGCCGTCTGGGAGCTCTAACCCAAATGAGCCTTGGAGGAGTCTCGCCCAGCTCCTATCTGACTGCCACAGCAGGAGAGGTGCCGAGAGAAAACCACCCAGCTGAGCACAGCCACATCAGAGCCATGAGAGAGGATACATTATTTTATTTATTTGAAAGGCAGAGTTAAGAGAGAGACAGAATGCTTCCATCTGCTGGTTCACTCCCCAAACAACCAGGGTTGCACTAGGCCAAAGCCAGGAGCCAGGAGCTTCTTCCAGGTCTCCCATGTGGGTGCAGGGGCCCAAGGACTTGAGCCATCTTCCACTGCTTTCCCAGCTGCATTAGCAGAGAGCTGGTTTGGAAGTGAAGCAGCCAGGACTCAAACTGGTGCTCATATGGGATGCTGGAGACACAGGCCATGGCTTAACCCACTGTACCGCAGTGTCAGCCACAGGATACATTATCTGTATTTTTGTAAAAAAGATTTATTTATTTGAAAGAGTTATGGGGGTTAGGGAGAGGTACAGATACAGAGAGAGATCTTCCATTCACTAGTTCACTCCCTAGATGATCACAATGGCTGGGCTGGGCCAGGGCAAGCCAGGAACCAGGAGCTTCTTCCAGATCTCCCAAGTGGGTGGCTGGGGCCCAAGCACTTGGGCCATCCTCCGCTGCTTTTCTCAGGCTATCAGCAGGGAGCTGGATCGGAAGTGGAGCAGCTGGGACTCAAACTGGCACTGATATGGGATGCCAGCGATGCGGGCAGTGGCTTTACCTGCTATGCCACAGCGCCAGCCCCCAGATACAGTATTTGAAGCCACAAGCCTTTGCAGTGGTCTCATAGCAGCACAGGGTAACTGGGTCAGGAGGTGGACATATTAGTTTTCATCCTCATTTGCTGATGGAAAACGGAGTCTCAGAGCAGGTTAGAAAGTTCCCAGCTTCATCACGCTGGTGGGTGCTGGGGTCGGGATGTGAACCCAAGGCTGACTGCAGAGTTGCCAGCTGTACTTTCTTCCCTGGGTGCATTCCCGGTCTGGAAGACACACAGCTGAGGCTGATGTGGGGTGTGCCGTTCACTTCCAGGAGCGCACTCGGGAGGGAGGGAGCCCACCCACGTCCGCCAGGTGGTCTTGCCCCCTCTGCAGCCTCAGCCAGCACCGGCCTCTGCTGTGCCTCACACTCAAATCTGCATGAACTTCGTGCCCTCTGCTGTGTCAGCCTCTCAACTCTCATCTGGAACTCTGACCTGCACCCACCAAAGGCTGGGTAACTTCTTCCTTCAGTGTGTGGGCAAGATGGCACCTCCTCCAGGAAACCCGCCCTGACTTCCCTGCCACACCCCCGACAGGGTGACCTGTCCCAGTCTGCTTCCTTCCCCCCGACAGGTCTGGCACCCAGTAAATTCGTGGGTGCTTAATGAATGATGGTTGGGGGCTGGTGTTGTGGTGTAGAGGGGTAAGCTGCTCCTTGGGGTGCCCACATCTTGGATCAGAGTGCCTGGTTCAACTCACGGCTCCTCCACTTCTGATCTGGCTCCCTGCTAATGCAGCCTGGGAGGCAGCAGGGGATGGTCAAGTCGCTGGGCCCTTGCCACCCATGTGGGAGATCCAGATGGCGTTCTAGGCTTTGGCCTGGCCCAGGTTTGGCTGTTGTAGGCCAGAGGAGTGACGAGGCAGATGGAAGATCTCTGTCTCTTTGTCACTCGGCCTTTCAAGTAGACGGAAATAAACAAACTTAGAAACAAAAAAGGGGCCGGCGCTGTGGCACAGTGGGTTAATGCCCTGGCCTGAAGCCCCAGCATCCCATATGGGCACTGGTTCTAGTCCCAGCTGCTCCTCTTCCGATCCAGCTCTCTGCTTATGGTCTGGGAAACCAGCAGAATTTGGCCCAAGTGCTTGGGCTTCTGCACCCGCCTGGGAGACCTGGACCAAGAAGCTCCTCGCTCCTGGCTTCGGATCAGCGCAGCTCTGGCCATTGTGGCCATCTGGGGAGTGAACCAGCAGATGGAAGACCTCTCTCTCTCTCTCTCTCTCTCTCTCTCTCTCTCTCTCTCAGCCTCTCTGTAAGTCTGTCCTTCAAATAAATAAAATAAGTCTTTAAAAAAAAATTCTGGTGCCATAGGGGTTGATCGTTGCGCCAAGAAGGCTCCCCAGAGGCACTGACGCTGCAGCTGGACTTCATGGAATTGGTGGGAGTTTCCTAGCTCTTGGCCAGGGTCAGAAACGCATCAGAATCACCTGTGCCGGCCCCACCAGGCACCCTGAGTCAGGCCTTGCAGGGCACGGCTCAGCCACCTACAGGTGCCAGGGGTTCACAGGTGATTCTCATTTGCAAATCACAGCATGGAACAGAGAAAAACAAGAAAAATATTCAGTGCCGGCGACATCAGGGCCCAAGAAAAGAATGTGTTGGGGAAGGAGCCCTAGGCAGGATGACATTGTCATGATAACAGCCCACTGCCACCACCACCATCATCATCGTCATGGGGGCATCACCACCAGTGTCAGCCCCAGTTCTCAGTTCTCTGTGTGAAGCACGAAGCCTAAAACTGCAGTGGGCTTGTGTCTCCAGCAGAGCCCCCAGCCTCTCTCCTTGTGTCCCCCCATACACCAGCTTCACCATACCACTAATTCCCAAAACCCGTGCGCTGTGGCTTACTTACTTATTTAAGAGGCAGAGAGAGAGGTACAATGCCAGCACCACACCAGAGCCAGCAACACCACGGCGCACCCACATGTCAGTCCCCTTGGGCATTATTCCTGCTGTGCACAGAGAGGCACAGAGCTGCCAGGGGGCTGTGTCTAAAGACAAGGCAGATGTTGCAGGCAGGTCTAGTGGGTGCCTTGAAAACTGTCAAGTGCACACAAGAGTAGGAAAAACCAGCGTGACCAGCACCCCACTGTCTCAGCTGTGGGACACTCCACAGAGACACTGCTCCCCAAATCCGAGGGTGCATCAGAATCGCCATGCATGGATGTCATCCACATTCTGGAATTACTCAGGTTTTGCCACAAAGAAAAATCTGGTGGCAGGACAGCGCTGGCATCAACAGGCTCACAAGGCAGATTTGTGATGTCTGGCCACGGGGACACGCTGTCCCGGGCAGGGGCGGGGGGGGGGGCACCTTGCCTCATTGGTAGTCTTCTGTGAGCGTGTTAAGATGCCCGCATCCCAGGGGTAGTGCGTGGGCTCTAGTCCCGGCTGCTCTCTCTCGTCCAGCTTCCTGCTAGTGCGGATTCCGGGAGGCAGCAGGCAATTGGGCTCACATGAGAGATCGCAACTGGGTTCCTGGCTGGCTCCCAGTCTGGGCCTGGCCCACCCCCTGTTGCAGGCATCTGGGGGGTGAAGCGGCCTTTGGGAACACGGTCTGTCTGTCTGCCTCTCTCTCTGTGTCTCTTATAAATAGAAGTGGTAATTTTTAAAAACCCAGATGGGTGACCACACAGTACATCACCGGTAGGTTCCAAGAGAAATAAACATTCGCTCACCCTAATAGGCAGAAGAGAAGAGAGAAGGACAAAGACACACACACACACACACAGGTGTCCATCAGCAGGTAAATGAAACTTCGCGTTTTCATGCAGTGGAATATTACTTAGCAATACAAAGGACACGACTACCCAGAGGCACCCCTTCACCTTCCCACCAGCCTGAATCTCAAAGAACTTACGCTGCGCGAAGCCAGACACACATGGCAAATTCTACCCTGAGCACAGGAAATTCACAGGGGCTGCAGGGCGCAGGGGTCTCCGGGGGGCCGACGGGGCACGGCGTGGGGGGCCGGGCAGGCGGACCCCGACTGGACACTCGAGCAGGGATCCGGGCGTGCCGCGTCGGGCCGTGAGCTGCGCGGGTCAGCGACCCGGGGCGAGGTCCTGGAGCACGCAGCTGCTCCCACACTGCGCTCGGGGGCGCACAGCCCGCCTGGGCCCGGGAGCCCCCTCCCTGCCCGAGGTCCAGCCCGCGCCGCCTCCCGGAGGGGGCGGAGGAGCCGGGCGCCCCGCCCTCCCTGGCCTCGGCCCGAGCCCGCCCCGCCCAGGCCCGCCCCTGCTTATCGGGCCCGGGGGCCGCGGCCGGGGAGGCGGCCGGCGCGCTGGGGCCGCGGGATGTCGCACGGAGCCGGGCTCGTCCGCACCACGTGCAGCAGCGGCAGCGCGCTCGGACCCCGGGCCGGCGCGGGCCATCTGGGCGCCGGGCCCTCGGACCGGCTGCTGGACGAGGGCTACCCGCGCACGCACACGGCCCTGCTCAAAGTGGCGCAGATGGTGAGCGAGGCGGGGGTCCCCGGAGGGGCCGGGGAGGGCGCGGCCGGGACCCCCCACACCCCACCCTCCCCAGCGTCTCCCTCCCGCCGGCTTCGACGGAGACCCCCTTCCCAGGGGGCGGCCGCGGGGCCCGACGCGCCTGCTGGCCCGAACCGCCGGCCAAAGTTCCCTTTCGTCGTCTTCCTCTTCTCGCGGCCGCCTCGAACCCGAGCCGGGGGCGGAGGAGTCGCTCCGCGGCGGCGCTGAGACGGCGAAACCGGCCGCCCCCGGTCCCCGGTGCGCGGAGCTTCCCGTCCCGGGCGCGGGGACTCCCCCGGGAGGTTTGCGTCCCGCCCCGCCGCGGGCCGGCGGTCGCGGTCACCTGTGCTGTCGGACCCCAGGAGCGGGCCCGGGGCTGGAGGTGCCCCTGGAGGCTGGGGACAGCCAGCCGGCAGGATTGGGGGCGCCCGTGCCCTGTTCGGGGAGGGGGGTTCCCCGGGACCGGGCCAGGATGGAAATTTGCCCCCCAGGGGGGGCCGGGGCCCCCCCCCCCCCCCCCGCCAGCCTGGACGGATGGTGCCCGGCCTGGCCTCTTGCTGCCCCCTCCCATTTTACTCTCCTTAAGCAGTTTTTCGTCTTCGACACCTTTTCCATTTGCACAGTGTGTTTTGAAACTGGGCTGGGCCAGGCTGTTAGTTTCCATCCACTGTAATGTTTGCCACAAGGACGGAGGAAGAAGGAGTGGTCTTTCTGCAGAGGGGCGAGGGCTGAGCCGTGTGGGGAGGGCGCAGGGTCGCAGGCAGGCCCGCGAGCGGCCCAGGGGGACTGGCCCCAGGGGCCGCCTGGTGTCCACAGTGTGAGTCCAGACGCAGAGTGGAGGCAGGAGGGGCTCTCGTGTTGTGCTTGGGTCAGAGCAGAAGGGCAGGGGGGCTGCATGGACCACCAGCTAGGACCGTCTGGGGAGGAGCTGAGCCTTGGTTGGCCCTGGCTTAGGAGACCAGGGAGGGGAGCAGCAGGGATGGGCGGGTGAGACAGGCGGCACCAGGGCACAGGAAGTGCTGAGTTGCGTGCGCAGAGGCCGGGATCCGGGGCCTCCGTCTGCTTTCCATGAGTCTGGTGGCCCAAGGTACTGCTGCACATCCATTTCTGACCTGAAACCCTCCACCAGCCGCCCCCCACCCCCCCACCCCCCAAGCTGTGACCGGTCGGTGGCCCTGGTGCCAGGTTGCAGGACACAATGGCAGGGCCTCAGAAGGCAGAGAACAAAGGCCCCAAGAATCCCTTTATCTGACTGCTGCCTCCCTGCGTGTGCCAGGGGAACCGGCCACCTGCCCTGGAGGGTGCCAGGCTGGTTGGCGGGGACCCCCTGGGGTGGAGCGGCCCTCACCGGGGTGGGGGGACACTTTCTTGGCTGGGCACCTGCCTGGGCATTTGCTGTTCCCTGGTCTTTGCCGAGAAGTGCCGTGGGGGAAGGCAGAAGCAGCTGGAAGAGCGCCATCCTCTGGACGCCCCCAGCATCTCTCACCTTGACCATGCCGATCCTTGTGTCCTTGGCTCCCCAGGGAGTGTTTAGCCAACAGACCTGTCCAAAGAAATTCTGAGGCTCTTCCTCCCTCCACCTAGGTCTGTTCTGCTGCGTCTTCCGCTACTAGAAAAAAAATAGGAAGAAAGTCGTGTCTCAGGGGCACTGGCTTGTGACTTGTCCTTTTTCCAGGTGTAATTCTTTTTAAGTTAAAATTTTTTTTTTGTTTGTATTTATCTGCAAGGCGCTGGTTCACTCTCCAGAAGCCCTCAACAGCCAGGACTGGGCCTGGAACTCAGCCTGGGTCTCCCACGTGGGTGGGTGCAGGGGCCCAGCTACCTGAGCCGCCCCCTGCTACTTCCCAGAGCAGGCATTAGCAGGAAGCTGGGAGTGGGAGCAGAGCCGGGGCTGGAACCAGGGCGCTCCGATATGGGATGCGGGCATCATAGGTGGTGTAAAACGCCGACGCTCCCCTGCCCCCACCAATGGAGCGTTGATTCTCACAGTCCTGTGGCAAAGATGGCTTCGTTTCTTTGGTCTTTTTTAAGATTTTTTTTTTTTTTTATTTGAGAGGTAGAGATACAGACAATGAGAAGGAGAGACAGAGAGAAAGGTCCTCCTGGTTCACTCCCCAGACAGCCATGATGGCCAGAGCTGAGCTGATCCGAAGCCAGGAGCTTCTTCCGGGTTTCCCACATGGGTGCAGGGGCCCAAGGACTTGGGCCATCTTCTGCTGCTTTCCCAGGCCACAGCAGAGAGCTGGATTGGAAGTGGAGCAGCCAGGACTCACATCAGTGTTCCTGTGTTGGAAGCTGGCGTCACAGGTGGCCCTTAACCCACTGCGCCATGGCGTCAGCCCCAGGAACCTTTTTATTATAGCTGTATTTTTGGAGCCTGTCAGTTGTTCTTGATAATGACTTAGGAATTGCATACCATGTCACCTGTGGGTCGTTAAGAGCCCCGTGGAGCAGCATGGTGGACAGAGAGGAAGCTGGCTGGAAGGGGGTGAGGTCACCCATCTCCCTGAAGGCCTTGTTTCCCCTTAACTCTGAACTCTGGGCCCGTTGTGTTTTGTTAATAGATCCAGGGGCGTCAAAGCCGCAGTGAGCGACGCCTCACACCCACGAAGACAGCCATAGTAGAAAAGACAGAAACTAGCGAGAAGCTGGGAGGAGGAGACTCTGGGGCCGGGGTGCCCTGCCGATGGCCGTGTAAAACAGGTCGGCCACTTGGGGGATGTGCAGGTCCCCTGAGGTTCCTAGCTCTGCCCGAGACGGGTGACAGCGTTCAAGTACGTTCACGTGAAGGCTCACGCGGCTGCCCGGCCCCACTGGTCTGACACGTCCGGGACAGGCAGCATTGCAGGCGTGGTGGCCGGCTGCTGGTGCATGGTCCGGGAGGAGCCACTTCAAGTAGGCAGTTGGTGTGGCCTGCGAATTATGTATTGGCCATTACAAGGAAAGAGATGTAAGGAAGGGCAGGATGGGCCCATGCAGCCACCGGGGTGGGGCGCCAAGGCTACCCCGCAGGCATTCATGCCCCTCTTGCCCCTGCCGCGGCCACTGGCGGGGGAAGGAGTGTCCACACAGCCTCCCAGAGGCCGGGCTGAAGGGCCAGGGTCCTGGTGTTGTCACCTGGCGTGCGGGGGCCGGAAGGGGCAGCTGTGGCAGGAGGGGGACCCCAGGACGGGGCGTGTGGCCTCCCCGGTGCTTGTCGTCCGTCCGTGCCATCCATCCATCAGTGAGTGCGCGGACCCCGAGGGCCGTGCCAAGGCTCTTGCTCTCCCAAAGCCATGGCTCAGCCAAAGGGCAGACAGGCAGCAGCGCTGGCTGCCAGGAGGGCCGGGGTTCTGCAGCCTCACCACGAGGACACAGGTCAGAGGGGAAGCAGAGGCCGCTGCTGAGTTGCAGCGTGACAGATGAGTGTGTGTGGTGCTGTGGACAAGGCAGCCCCTGCCCTCGTCATAGGGGAGACACCCGCTCATCGGATGGCTGTGAACCTGTGATCAGAAGCCAGACGGGTGTGGCCTTGCTGGGAGGCCAGGAAGGGCCCTTCTGAGGATGGCCACTTGATGTCCCCGGACGCAGCCTGCTGAGTCTGGAGGAGGGGGCAGAGTGGGTGAGTCTGGGTGAGTGTGCAGGGTGAGGACATGACCCCTGTCGTAGGGGAACCAAGGAAGCATGGTGGAGTGTCAACCCAGCAGCGCGGTATTGACAACCAGAGGCTATACTGCCCCCTAGGGGTCATCTGGGAACTTGGTGGAAACCGTGGGTGGTGTTGGGGATGAGGGTCGGGCTGTAGGTGCGCTTGGTTCGTTTCAGGACAAGGCTTCATCTGCTGGTAGGAAGCCTTGTCTGAAATGAGACTGAAGGCACCCATGCAGGCTGGAGGCACTGGGTGTCGGGGGGGGGGGCGGTACACTGTGCTTCCTGGCAGCAAGGTGGTCCTACAGACCATGCAGGCCTCCGGGGGCCATTCTGGACTTCCCTTTGGGAATTCACAGCCCAGGCACCAAATGGATTAGACTGTGGAGCAGCCAGGACTTGAACCGGTGCTCTGGCAGGAGATGCCAGCATCGCAGGCAGTGGCTTAAGCCTCTGCATCACAAGGATGGCCCACTGGGTTTTCTTTCTGGTAGCAAAAGAAATACTTCTTCCACGTTGAAACTTTGGGGGACACAAACGAGAAAATAAACTCCACTATTTCTTCTCCCCAGGGGCAATGCTTAGAGTAACACGTTATATAGTATTTTAGAGGAGACTTCTAATTTAGGTGTTTTAAAAACAAAATGATGCTGCACGCATTCCGTGGGTGTTCTCCTGCACAAGTACTTTCTCACGCCAGTGTTCCTCTGTGGCGTGGCCTCTAGTGGCGTGGCCGTGGCTGGTGGAGGCGCCGTGGGTTCTGTGGCCGGCTGCCCTCATTGTGGCTCTGGGAGTTATCAGTTCTGCCCGTGTGCACACAAGGCTGGAATGAGCCTCCTGGCAGAGCTGTCCCTGATCCGTCCACGGGAGAAATGGCCTTGGCCCTGCAGAGAGAGGAACGGAAGCCTTGCCCTTCCCTAGGGGGCAGGCGCCTAGTGGCCGTCCAGCAACGAGTGGATGTCCCCTGATGGTCCAGGGATTGCAAGGCACCGACTTCTGCGTTGTCATGGTGTTTTTGGCATCCGATGGTTGGGAGAAGGAATGACGGCAAAGATGGGCTGGAAGATCAGTCGTGCACTCAGATGTGGGCACAGCATCTGCGGGCGCTGGACGGTTGGTGGCACCACGCACGGGGAGGCCCTCATCCAGCCAGGCTGCCCAGCAGAAAGACTTTGTGGCACTTGGAAGAGTCGCCCCCAGAGCACCCCAGATCACCACCTGCTGCCGTATGGCCAGCACTGGCCAGAAGTACCCCAGCTGGCAGGGTCCCTGGGCTGCACGGTCAGGGCGGAGGGTGTGGGGTGCAGAGTGACTCTGGGGAATGGGCCCGGGCCCCCCTGCGAGACACCCCTGGG